CATGCATGCTTTTAGTAATCCCAGCACTCAGAAGACAGAGGCAAAAGGATCTCTGAGTTCCAGGCTAGTCAAAGCTACCTAGACACCCTGTCTCAAAGTGTGTGTATGTTACTAAAGATATATTAAAAGTATATTTATTTAATGATCCTGGGAATCAAACCCAGAGCTTTGTCTTTGTTATTCAAGTATTGAATCACTGAATTACATCACCAGATACAATTTTTAAAAAACATTAAAAAAATAAATACAATAACTTTTTTAAAATCATTTATTGGGGCCAGAGAGATGGCTCAGTAGTTAAGAGCACTTGCTACAGAGGTTTTTTTTTTTTCTAACACCCATATGTCAGCTCACAACAATCTGTAACTCCATCCTGTTCCTGGGAATCACTGCCCTCTTCTGGCTTCCTTGAACACTGCATGCACATGGTACACTCACATGTATGTGGGTGTAAAACAAAACACTCATACCATAAAAATAAAATCTCTAAATAAAAAAAAAAAAAATCATAAGTCCTGCCCAGGCCAGTGTGGTGGCTCAATGAATAAGCGCACGTATGCAAACCTGAAAAGCTGTTTGCTCCCTGGAGCCATATGAAGGTGGAAGAAGAGACCCTGCTCTCCCAACAAGATTTCTTCTGACCTCCCCCAGCAATAACAACAATAAACAATTTAAAAAGGACATAAACTATTCCCTCCTGGTGGCCATTGCAGAGGAGCAGCAGGTGGCAATTGAAATTCAAGGTGTCAGCCCACCCACCAGGAGGAGACTCTCTGATTGGTCAATCTCAAATAGGAAGGTCCCAAGACCACAGACCCCAGAATGACTTTTGCTTCTGCTGTGGCTTTCCATGTTTGCTGCTGCTACCCTTCTCTGGTGTCTGGCATGGTGTGAATGGGTGTGGGGGAGATCCCCACTGCCTGTAACGTAGTATGTTTATCTCATGGAAACATCCCATTGTACAGGGCATTTTTACCTGTGGGTTATTATGAAGATGCCTCCTCCCTAAGCAGTACTGTCTAATTGATAATAATAATGCTAGCTTATTCAGTTTTGATGAAAAAAATTAATACAAGGAAATGTTACACAGTTACGGCCTATGAATTTCATAAGGAGCTGCACAGATCATAGCTCAAGTTGATGATGGTTAAGAGAAACAATTGAGTTCCAGGAGCCAGGCTGGCTCAAATACCTTTAATCTTAATGATGAAAGACGAAGTCACAGGTTTCGGTGTGCATCATTAGCTGAAACAAAGCTTTAAAGTAACTTCAGGTTAGATCAGTTGTTTTGATTAGCCGTAAGATGAAAAACAATCTAAAGTTCACAAAGACACATAGCTGAGGTAAAAAATACACAGCAGCCTAACTGTTCCTAGCTGATGTATTTTCTTCTAGGGTTGATTGATGATCAAAGGTGATGATTCATTCCTTGTATTCATTCCTGCCCACAATCTCCTGAATCTATATATATATATATATATATATATATATATATTTGGAGAAGAATGAATACAACA